GGTAAATTGCACATGAATGAACGGTTGAAGCACGGTTAGATAAAGACATGGTTACATGATTCAACATTGTAAATATGGCCTAAGACAAGGATTACAATTTTTCAAAGAATCTCGAAGACCAAGATGAACCTGAAACCATGAGAGAACTTTGAGTGAACTGTGAGTGAACTGTGAGAGTGGACTGTGAGAGTGAACTGCGAGAGTGAACTGTGAGAGTGAACTGTGAGAGTGGACCCTGAGAGTGAATCAAGAACAAACTTTGAGAGAACCTTGAGAGAATTATGGTTGACATGAGCCGACATGAATCCTGACTGTGGACTGACTGTTGAAAACATCTCGAAAGTCAACCACTAGCAGTTGCTTGCCTTTTGAACCTCACTTGTCACAATTGATTTGCATACTGAACTAAATCCACTGACGAGCTTGGACATGTGAAACCACTTTGAACTTCACTTTTGTCACAATTCATTTGTCTACTCAACTATATAAATCCACTGAAGAGCTTGGACATGTGAAACCAGTTTGAACTTCACTTGTCACAATTCATTTGTCTACTGAACTAAATCCACTGAACAGCTCGGACATGTGAAACCAGTTTGAACTTCACTTGTCACATTTCATTTGCATACTGAGCTAAATCCACTGTAGAGCTTGGACATGTGAAACCAGTTTGAACTTCACTTGTCACAATTCATTTGCATACTGAACTAAAGCCATTGAACAGCGTGGACATGTGAAACCAGTTTTGGAGCTCAAACCATTTAATTTTAGCCTACGTTTTTTGCGATCCTTAAGCCACGTGCGTGGATCATGTCGGGCAATGCTCCAACAATTTCTTCAGATGCCCAGCTCCCCAATGAAAAGAGTGGCGAACTTCATGCCTTGGTTGGTAGCCTTCCTCCAGGGTTTGATGACTCTGAGACTTTGATTCTTGGCCCTACGGTCTCGTAACTTTTGGATCTCTGTGAAGACATATAGTTGCATGCCTTGTTGTCAGTGTCGACTCGCTGAGCATCTCGCCCCGACAGATGGGGGAGTCCATCAGGGTACACCTCTGAACGGAGTGGCCCGGGTGCCGGGCGTCCATCTTCGAATCGCCTTGGAATCTCCCGCACCCTACTCTTTGTAGAGCCGTCGATGGCCGCAGCAATGAAGATCACCTCTCTTCCAGCTGGCGGCTGAGGGATTGCTGCCGTCTTTCATCGGCAAGATCATGGCTCGGGTCCAGAAGCCAATGCACCGTCAGGCATCGCCAAGCACAGCTGATGAATGCTTTGGTCAGGGCGGCGTTGGGGCCCGCCATAAGGTCGGCCACAAGAGGTCGCCCCTCTTGCGGCTCTAACCCATCCGACCCAAAAGAGGCAGCCGCCTCGCCTTCCGGGGTTTGTCAATGCTTGTTGGTGCAGTTTGTGGCGCCATGGTTGAAGGCCCCACAAACCCTGTCCTTCCTAAGGACTGCTGCACAACGATGGGCACCCTGAGGACAAAGCTTTGCTTTGCACCCGCCACGCTGGTACTGTGGGCATAGTTTGGTGCTGTCCTTCATGGCTGTTGCCGCGTGCTTGCCATTGATTGGCTTACCCAGCTTCAATGGGGATGGTGATGCCGCTGTAGGTGCTGCGGTCTTCTTGTCAGGTGTGGTTGGCCCAGGCGCCGACCAATGCGCATCCCTGGATGTGTACACCTGGCCAATGACTTGGCCCAGGCTCATGGTCGACTCTCGGAATTTTGACACCCATTCACTGCGCTCTTCCCACATCCCTGGTCTGCAGCCAGTGCAAGCGTTGAGAGATGGGCATCACCGTGATGCTGCGCTTGGCTCTGAAGTAGTACTTGTAGATCACATCCAGCGGCACGTTCACAAACTTGGCTGTGTCTGCTCCCAGGTTCAATTCTTGCGCCGCGTCCGGTGCGCCGGTCACCCCGGCACATCCGGACATGGCATATATGCCAGCAGGAGGGTGAACAGACGGTCGAGGTAGTTGTCCACATCGTGGGCCACCACTTCTTCACCCTCGCCCTCTTCAATGAACAACCCATCACTGAGCTTGCGTTTCTTCTGGGAAGTAGTGAGCTGGAACTGCAACGTTTTCACCCTCCAGATGTTGTAGACACAGAGCATCCGCTTCTGCATCTCTCTGGCCACCCTCGAGATTGTAGTATCGGTTGGGTGGATCTCGGGGGGGAACCTCATCTTGTAGCGCCTCCAGAACTGTTGCTTGGTGTCGCGAAGCTCGGTCTCCCCGAGCATCGTGTCCAGATCGGACAGTGCAATCTTGGAGCGATCTTGTTCGACCTGGCGGTAGTACAGCCCTACGGCTGCCCATGCTCTGCGCACCCGAGCTGTCATCAGCAAGGCATTTGTCACCTAAGCCCAGCTTACCAATCCAGGTCTCGATCGCCTGCTCTGAGGCCCAAAGAAACCGAAACTCCTGGAGGTTCTCAACACCCAACCGGAGTAATTAAGGCTTCAACCACCCCGTCATCCAACCCGAAGTTGTCACCCAACTTCCTAAGGATTTCCTCGGTCTCCAATGGGACTTCAGTCTCCATGGCCAACGTTCGAGGACACCCCTCTGTCTAAGGCCTAGGGATCCCCTCCCTTTGACTGAAAACTGCGCCTCGGGTCTCCCCCGTATCGTGCGCTCGACTGGCCTGACATGCCGGTGAAATCAATCCAGGTGTGTCTAGTTACAAAAGTATACACAAAACTAATGTTCAAGCGGACAAGAAGAATTCATCAACCCGTCATGAGTTCACCCTCATGAAGTTGGACTGCGTTCGATTGCGTGACATCCTAGGAGAAACCCTCCCAGACTTGCAAAGGGTCAGCAGTTGAAATTGCTTTGACACCTGTCAGCAAGAGAAAAGCCTCTGACATATAACCTCAGTGGACTCCCCACTGTGCATTAAAAGACCCCCTTTTCATCGCACACGAAGGTTACTGCTGGGGGCGTCATGCAAGCAGAATTAGATGCTCTTGTCCAAGCCCCGAGCTGTCGAATTCGGCTCTCCATCGCCGGAACGGGCCAATGCTGCTAAAGTAGCGCAAGGGCCAAAAATTCGGCTAGGCCGGTGGCCACCACGAGGCAGGTGCTCGGCGGAGGCATTGGTCACACCAGGGTCGCTCCCACGCCAGCGCCTCAAAGATGTCGGTGGAGGTGTAAGGGTTCACCAGGCGCTATGTCGCCTTCGACCAGCACATGGGTGCTAGATCGTTCCGTGGCTGCATAGCCCTGTGGCTCCGGATGCTGGATCCCCACAGCCGTGTCCTGGAAGGCTTTGTGCAGCCACTTCTTCATGGTCATCCCTGGTCCTTAATGACCTTCTTCAGCTCTGTCTCACGACGACCCTCAATGTAGCTGTTGGCTGCTTCGATGGTCTCACCTACAAGCAAGGCTCAACAAAGCACGCCCAAGTAGGCTCCTCTGTGGCGCCCCTTGATGCAGTGAATCAGGTAAGTTGTCGCCGTTCCACACCGTGTGCTTCACGGCTGGCCAGACATCCGTCCACTGCTCAGATCGCTCTTGGCTGTAGGCTGCTGCAAAGGTCATCAACTGAGCACCCGGAAGGGTCACCCCCCCCGGCTCTCAGGTCCATGCAGAAAGCAGCAGATTTGCAGCGCCGTCTCTGGGAACTTGTCCGTTGTCTACCGCATCGGGAGCCCTGCCAAGAAAAGCTTGCCCCCTTTCCTTGACGTGGGGGCTTGAGCAGCGCCAGATCCGACACCCAAAGTTGGTCAAGACGATCTCCGGCTTGCTTCCCACGCCCCTTCTTTGGCACGGCTTTGATCTGAGGCTTGCCCGGTGCCATTTTGATTGCCGCCTTAGGCGGGGTCTTGGGCATTGCCTTTGGAGGCGTCTTGGGCTCTGCCACAGACTTGGCCTTCGGGGGTGTCTTGGGAGCTGCGATGCCCGGGCCTTCTTCACAGCTGCACGCATCACGTCTGCCACTTCATCATCTGTCGCCCCTCCTGCAGGTGCTGCTGCTGTTCTCTTCCTGGTGAACTGTGCCTTGTCACCCAAGGCTGCGGGCACCAGGGTACCCAATAGATTGTTTTAGTCTATTTTTAATCTATTGCCTAAACCCTGTGAAATAGTCTATTTCATGCAAATCTGGCGATTTTTGGAGGGATGAAAATCAAGCGATTTTGTAAGTTAAATAGTTAATTTTTTCAAAAGTGGAACTGCCGAAATCGGCAAAAAGTTTGTTTCGAATTTGACGAAATAGTTTAAATTTGGTGAGACTATTTTTACTGACAAAAATTAACTAATAGTCAGAAAAAAATTGTCTAATAGACAGATTCCTGACTATTAGTCAGATTGGCGGGGAACCAAAGTACGACCAAACTACGCCCAAACTACGACCCCTCAGTTTGATAAGATTGTGCTCGGGCGGGTGCACACTTTTGCGCATTGTTGTACTGTGCGCAGGTAAACTTACATCTATATTGCACAGGCTATATGTAGATGTAGAACACACATGCATGTGCTGGATGAATTTGAAAACTCAAACCGCACATGCGTAAATACAAAACCATGTAAAAAGAAACATAGGACGATGTCAATATATACAGGCTGTGTGCGTGTCTGTGTGTAAAAGCACATGTACAGCTCACATGGCGACAAAATTCGCCATTAAAATAGCAAACCATGTGTTTTGTATATATATATATATAATTGTCCCTATCATTGTGTGTTCATAGTGTCAGTCATGGTGTCCCTCATGGTGTCACTCATGCTGTCCTTCATGGTGTCCCTCATGGTGTCACTCATGCAGTCCCTCATGGTGTCTCTCATGGTGTCTCTCATGGTGTCCCTCGTGGTGTCTCCCACAGTGTTGGACGCAGTGTCTCTCACACGGTGTCTCTCATCAAGTCCCTCTCAGTATCTTGAATGTTTGATTGCAAGAGGTTTTGACTTGCTAGAGGCAGCTTACCATTGGAAGTTTTGAGAAAACATAACCAAGTCACATAGCAGGACCGCCACAAGAGAGTTTTTTCAAAGAGCCAGCTGGAGAAAGTGCAAATGCAATCCTAAGCGATAGTGGCGAGCCAACTTTGAAGTCTGTTTGTCGACCCGGTTGCCACGAACACATGCCTTTGCAACTTGTTGCATGCGCTGCATTTGATCTTCACCCATGAAGCACCATACCACCTTTGGATTCATTGATCGGCTCAACATAGCTAACTCTTGAAGCATGTGGGTTTTGCTGGTGATGTCGAAGCATTTCACCCCTTCGTCCACGAAGTGGTCCGCAATCTGGTTCAAAAGTACTAACATGCCCGAAGCCGTTTTCTGAAAATCTTCGGCTGCTCCAGCTGGGAAAGAAAAGTCTTCGTTGTGCAAGGTAATCATCTCTTCCAGGTGAACGTTGTGCTTTAACATTAGAGAAATGCGTTTGTGCAAGGCCAAGTTCTGGTTCATGTGCATGTTCCACAAGGCTAGCAAAGCTGGACCAAAATGCCGCACCTCGGAATCCTTCCCTCTCAGTTTTGGATACTTACCGGTTCGTACAAACATGGTCAGTTTTGTTAGATACCTAAAAGGCGTAGGGGTGGAATGTCTTTTGAAATAATCTTTCAAAAAAGCCAAGCAGTTTTCCAAGTTCGTGTTCTCATCGTTCGGCATGACCATGGACACCAAGACTGATAGGACCGATCCGAAGATGTACTGGTCCACACCGAGGTATTTCACATGAACCCAGTCATAAGCAATTGTCCAGCAGGAGGCACCAGGCAGGGTCAGCAACACGCACTGTGTACGTCCTTCCCAGGCTCGCCATGTTTCACCTTGCCAGCGACTTGTTCTCCATAAAGCTTCATCCCTGAAGTCAGTCCAGGTGTTCGGCCCTGTCAATGTGCATCGGCAATGCATGCATGGTCCACCTGCTGCAGAGTAGTTTGGGGTTCCCAGCATCGCATGGAAGTAGTCTAAGTCCCCCGTCAAAGCCCATAATACGGCCTTGAAGCCGTCGGCTAGGAAAGAACCTGCCCTGTTAGCCTCCACCGACCCTGCTGGGTACCTTGGTTGTTGAAGGGGTTTCACGAAGCTCATGTAAAAAAAATCACTTGGAATCATCAGTTCCCTATTATATATTGTTTCGATGTGCATACTGGTTTGTACATGCAAGGCATACGCATACATACATTACATTACCTTACCTGACCTGACCTTGCCTTACCTTACCTACATTACACTACACTACATTACATTACATTACATTACCTTGCCTGACCTTACCTGACCTGACCTTGCCTTGCCTTACCTTACCTACATTACACTACACTACACTACATTACATTACATTACACTACACTACACTACACTACATTACATTACATTACGTTACACACACATACATACATACATACAAACATACAAACATACAAACATACATACATACAGACAGACAGACAGACAGACATACGTTACATACATTGCATACATTACATACATTACATACATTACATACATTACATACATTACATACATTACATACATTACATACATTACATACATTACATACATTACATACATTACATACATTACATACATTACATACATTACATACATACATACATACATACATTACATTACATAACATTGCATTGCATTGCATTGCATTACATTACATTACATTACATACATACATACATACATAACATACAAAACATACATAACATGCATAACATACATAACATACATAACATACATAACATACATAACATACATGACATACATGACATACATTACATACATAACATTACTTACTTACTTACTTACTTACCTACTTACTTACTTACTTACATACATATTTATATATGTATATATACGAGCATAGAGGTGACATGTAGCAATGCGTCAAACTGGGTTTTGTTGACTTGCACGTTGCAGTTGACAAAGAAACCTCTATTGCAAACATAGACCCTTTTGTATGCACATGTGAATACACTGTTGACCATGCGTTTTATCACTAAACCAGCACAAAACGAAACAAATACTATTTGTATAGCACTAAGTTGCTTTCGACCTTTGTGGTCTTCTGAGGGCCACCTTCCTTCAGCTAAGCATGAGAAACTCCACTTCAACACCGTGTAGAACTCGAACAATGTTCCAGTGGTTTGGTCGCCAATCTTGAGCTTATCGAAAAAACCCCAGACCCAGATCAACATGGACGGTGTGGTGCCCTGACCCAAAAGGCTGTACCAACTGTAATTCGTCATCACTCGGGACCAAACTTTTCCTATTCCAGTGATGGGGACACCGTCCCCATGCACTGCTATGGCATATGGGGATAGTAGTGCGGTCCCAATTGGGTTTTGATTTCAATGGATGTTCTTGAAATTGAGGGTGAAGCCGCATGGCGCGCCAGAATCGTTGCATGCGATCGATGCTGGGTAGGATTGTTGTATTCCACACTTGCCTATAATGCGTGTAAATGCAGGCAAACATTTCGTGCGGCAGCAGCATCGATTGGATAGAGTTCAGGAAACCCTTTAAAGGCACTGCTGCTTTGAAGGGCCTTGGGATTTTGGGCACGTGTTCTACTTTGCTCATAAGCTCAGCATGGATATTGTTGGCATGCTTTCCTTTGGTTCCAAGTTTTGCCAGAGTGTACAGGTCTTCCAAAATTCGAGGGTCTTCTTTGGACTTTTCGATATCTTTGACTGCCATTTCAGCAATTTGTTGGACTCTTTGTGGACTAAAATAGCCCCATGCAAACAAATTCAAAAGTAGTAGACATAAGGCGGATGTTTCACATCGTCCATCACTTTCTGGTTCGGCTTTTTGCTGAGCCAGCCTTTGCTGGTGGCCGCCGCGGCGCTTCTTTTTTGGGGGGCCCTCCATGGCAAGAGCCAAGGTGTGAAATCTACTTACAATGCCGTTCGCCACTATGTATATACATAAACATATACATCTATTTCTTTTCGAAATATTTTTATCTAAATAAAATAGATATATTTGTATGTGTATCTATATCTAAGTCTAAATCTTGCTGATTTCGTCAAAATATACCATGAGAAACCAATTTAAGAGCGATACCTTGAGAGGTTTGGACATGAGTGAAGGGAATGATAACGCAACTCAGAGAAATACCTTGAGAAAAGCGAAAACGCTGCACTGCAAGAACTATGGTGTGTTTCAAAATAGGGAAAGGCTCCAAGGATGTTGCTATTTTTTGTTCACAGTGTGATAAAAGGAAAAAGTTGTTTTGACCCTGTATGAGATCACCAAACATCGCAACTTGTTGATTCCTAATGGCTTTAAGTGTTGCGTCAAAACTAGTGGTTCTCTCAAAGTTCTCTCAAAGTTCACTCATGGTTTCAGGTTCATTCCTTGTTTGCAGTTGACCGTGTTTCAAATGTTCACATGTCAAACTAACCTGGAACCTGCAACCTGAAGCCATGAAAGGAGCGACCATGAAAGGAATGACCATGAGGGATGTGACCATGAGGGAAGTGACCATTTCTGGGATATCTTGAAACATTGTCATTCTTAATTTTCTTTTGGGTTCCCACAATATATTTGACCCCATCAACTCTCGGAAAACAAGACCAAAACCTGGGAAATAAAGTGTTTTGGGGTGACTTCGTGGGGTCAAAGTTTGAAGCGGAATTTTCATGGAACATGTTGACCCTGTCATTGAAAACCCTCCGACACCATGAAAGTAAACTAAGTAAAGTACAAACACCAATGACATGCCACGCTTTACTTTTGATGGTTTGTCATTTTTGTCATGGTTTGTCATGTGGTCCTCATGGTCCTCATGGTCTCGCACGATCTCTCAGGGTCTGTCATGGTTAGTCATGTCCCTCATTCATGTTCTCCTAATCATCCCTCTTGATTCTCACGGTCTCTCACGTTCTGTCATGGTCTGTCATGGTTGGTCGTGTCCCTCATTCATGTTCTCCTTTTGATTCTCACTGTCTCTCTAGCTTACTACCAAGAGATATACGTGTGAAAGCATGACCAAAGCCTATGGCAGCGCTGAACCAACAACATTTTCAACCATCGTTCACGGTCTCGAATGCCACACCAACAGCACGCATGCCCGCAAAGCAAAGCACCCTCCTTGACTTAAAGTTCTCAACACAAAGGGGCTCAAAAACGCGGCACGTCGCAGCTGAAAAGATCGCAAAAAGTTCACAGCCTAGGACTTAGCCTTGGCCCTAGCCTTCGCGGCCTGGATCTCCAAGTTATACTTCTCCACGTCCTGCGCGATGCCTCCGATGAAGTTCTCCAAGCTGACACGGTTCACCGTAGCTCTTTCAGGCAACTCACCAAACATCAGCAAATTCTGCAAGTTGGTAATGTCGCAAGACAATGTCTTGTAGCCCTCTTTGACCACAGGCTGAAGATCCTTGGATGTCACCAGCTTGCTTCCATCTTCCAGCAAGCGCTCGCAGGCGTCCTTTGCCTTTGCTGCCAATTTCTTGATGCTTTCCGGAATGTCTCCAGTTTCATCCATAACCTTTTCGTCAGCCTGATGCTTCGCGGTGAAAATTTTATGGCATAACACTATGATTGTAACGGCTTTGAGGTTTTCAGTTCATGTTTGTGACAAGCAAAGTAAAACAACATTTATAAGTGACCCTAATTTTGACCGGATGTGGCAAGAACAAAGAGGTGTATGACAAGCTAAGCTGATGATTCTTAACGGCCATGGGCATTGACTACTACAGTCCTCTACAATGTTTGAAGCCAAATCCTCACACTCTCACAGCTGTCTCACAAGGTTCTGAAGTCCTGCGATTGGTTGGGTGGTTCGCTTCAGTCAGTGAGTCCGTCTGAGAACAAACACTTAAAAACTGGAACTGCAGAACCTAGCCATGAGAGAGAGTGTATGAGAGGGACAAGCATGCAAGGACACTGTGAACTGTGAGAGACCATGAGAGTGAGAGAGTTTGACATGCTGGATTGGTAAAGGGTTCACGTTCGAATCATTTGACAAACCTAAATCCATGAGGGGAGACACCATGAGAGAACCACATGTGAGTGTTTGGTTTTGAACATGTGTTTTTCTATTTGACAACTCCTATCTTTTCAACCTGTGGACATGAGAGAGGAGGGACCAAGAGACCAAAGTAGATTTCTATAGTTGAGATTAAAGTTTCTGTTCACCCCCAACCCTATGAAGAGCCTTGGCCAAACTGAACTTCCATTTGAGCTTGCTCATCAGCGAGGCCATGGTATGAGCCTGGTCCTGGGACATCTTCTTAGTTCCTTTGACCTTCTCTGCCTCCTCGTTTCCTCTGACCTCGATGCTCGAGAGCTTCCGGAACTGGAGGTACTCAAGCTTGGAGGAAGGATCAACCTTCGAGATCAGCTCGCCATTGTCCAAGGCTCGCTTCATGAGCTGCTCATTTCCATGGAAGTGGCTGGCCAACATCAAAGTCTTGGGCATAGCCTCCGCTTTATCCTTCGCAATGGTCTGGTGGAAGACCTTTCGATACTGCTCGAACTCGTGCTTGTCAGTCATGAGGCGGTACGTGCCGTCGTCACCCTTCTGGAACAAAGAATTGATAAGTTTGGTTTGGTAATTCCTCACCCCCTCCTTTGCCTTCTTACTCTCCACCTGGTACATGTGGATGATGTGGTCCGGTAGGGATCCACTTTGGAGCATCTTGTGAAACTTTTGGGCCTTTTGTTTATCCCTACATTGCTCTTCCGCTTCACTTTCATCCTCCTTCACACCCTTCAACTCATCCACCACATCCTTGATGGAGTTAGATGCTGGCCTCTTCTTAGGATTGGCCCCTTCGGCTGACGCAGGTCGTTTCAGGACTGGCATGGCCACAGGTCAGGCGCGTCCGTTCAAGTTTGCTGCGAAGGTTCAAGCTGAAATCTTACATGTTCAAGTACATTCATAGCTGATGTGTTGAGCAAATTCAGGCACACATGGGACACATGGAACCTGAAACCAATCAAACCAGTGTTTTCATTTGTTGAAAAAATAGATCGAACACCATGAAATTCCTGTTGGTTTTCTGCGAAGTTTGTACCAAACTTCAAACAGTTTCGACTCATGGGGTCGTAGTTTGGTAGAAACTACGTCGTAGTTTCGACTCGTAGTTTGGTAGTAGTTTGGTAGTAGTTTGATAGTACTTTGACATGGTACTTGCAAAACACATGGTATTTGCGATGGTTTGTAACATGTATGTTCAAACTACGATCAAACTACCACTAAACTACGACTAAAGTACGACTAGAAACTACGACCTACTTTCTACCAAACTACGACCCTCTCCACTTGACCCCCAAGTCAACTCACATACTTCTAAGTCAAATTTCAACATCACCATCTCTCCACTCACGATCTCTCAAGGCTTGAAGGTTCAAAGTTGCGTGAACGTATGTTTGAAACTGTCTTCAAAAGTTGAGCTGTTTGATTGCAAAGTATCATTTGGACAACAAAAAGCACTGTGCAGTTCGTCCAGCCCCAGTGAAAAACAGTCTTTTTCACACAACCTTGGTGAGCCTTCACGCTATGGCTCCACAGTTGCAACTTCGATCAGAAATGCTTCTTATGATAAGAAGGCTAATCTCCAACAGCTAAGCTAAGGAGTTCCCAAAACATTTTGCCCTTCACTTCCCACCCTTCTTGTTCAATTTGCGCAAACGTTCGTGGCGAGCCATGCGCCTTGAGCGACGGGAACCTGGATTATCGCCAGGACGAACACCGGGAAGCCCAGGCAAACCAATGGGGTCAGGCAAAGGCACAGGATTGGGCAAAGGGGAGGAGGATGACGATGCAGGTCCATAGGCTGGGCCGACCAAGGAGCTGATCATCTCCATGAGCTGCAAGCTCATGGGGCTCACATGTCCCCTCTGTTCGATGTTGAAGTTGGCATCCAAAGCCAAGAATCCGGTAATCTCATCATCAGAGAACACCTCCTCCTCTTCACCTTCCCCCTCATTTCCACCCTTCCCAGAGGAATTCTCAGTCTCAAGCTGGCAGCTTTGATCCACGTGACCCGAAGTAGGATGGTCATTGACCGTGTCACCCAAACCATCCAAGGAATCCGTGGTCACAGGCTGAGAGTCGCCAGGCCCAGGGTCACAAGCTTCATGGCACAACCCAGAATCTGGGTGCAAAGGCTGCGAATCGGTGTCCAGGTCCTTGTCTCCGAGGGAGTGTCCGTGAGAACCCAGCCCGTTCACTCCATTGGTGGACTTCGACTGAGGTGGCGATGTGGGAGTCCGGACAATGGATGGACACGGCCTACGCAGTCTGCACGTTGGGTGGCGCTCGTTGCAAGCATCAAGTATTTCGGCACAACTTGGAGGAGATTCAGCAGTGGCCCTCGATCAGCAAACTGCCATATCACGTACATGACCCGCAAGAGTGGACGCCATACACGTGCGATGGCCAGCGAGTGTACCCATCCAAGGAGGAGGCTGAGTACACAGCAGTCCTGGCGTTTGCCATCGCGGTGTCAGCCAGTTGGTGGGCAGTTCAAAAGGGCCTGGCTACGCTGCAGGTGCCGAGAATGCCAGCATTTCTCCCAGTGGGGCGCCGGGAGCATTGGCTTGACATGCGGGTTGACAGAAGCATTGCGAGCTGGACGACCGGGGTTACCAGTCAGAAAGCTTGCGACGGATGTCATGATCGAGAACTATAGTGTGCCGGCGGCAGCTTCCACCATCGCCTTTCCACTACCAAGTGGAGATCCCCTTGGACGCCGGGCCACAACTGCGAGGCTGGTGAATGGCCTGCCAGGTATATCGTCCACATCAGGACATCAGGACCTCCCCAGTTTGGGATGCGTTGCCAGAGTTGGCAGGACTGACGTTGGTCTGTGACTGTCCCATGGACCAGTGGTGTGAAGCCGACATTTTGATTGGGCTCTACTTTGGTGCCACAGCACCTGATGTCAACCCAGCCAGCAGGGGTTCTGAGGGCAAGTGGAGTCGCACAGTCGCCTTGCTACAAGGTATCCAAGCGCTACCAAAAGGCGTGGCCTTGCCCACGATGAGCCAGGAAGCCCTGGTGTTAGCATTCCGCAAACTGTTCCCAGAGCATTGGTTCCAGAACTACAAGTTCGCCATGGTGGAAGACATAGTCAACAGCCCCCCATTTTGCTCTTACTCACCCTGGCTGGCTGAGCGTGGAGAGGCCTGGGTCGGGCCTTTGGTTCCTCACTTGGCGGCAGGAGCCGTGCGTCAGCTTGCCCGGATTGGAGACGGCTGCCAAGTATAGGAGCAATGACACATCGAGCACCTTTGCCGACACTGCTGCCCTTCAACTTGGACCCAGACGCTCATTTTGGACGAGCGTTGCAGAGAGCTCAACAACCTTTGCCTTACGAGGACTTACCAGTTTCTGACCTCGACCTTGAGTACGTCGCTGATGCATACGCAGCTCCACGAGCGTCACTGCGAGCTTGGAGACAGCGGGCTGTGGGCGCCTTGCGTGAGCTGAAGAGGCGCTGGGAGGGGGTGACCCTAAACTAAATTTGTACTCTTTTCAGGAGCCAGCAGTGCGCCAAGTGACGAGGCAACGGGATATCGGATTCATCGCTTTGTTGATGATCCTCACCTCTTGGGCCGATACCAGCTTCCCCTACGGGCTGGTCCGAGGGCTGCCAGCGGTGGGATATGCACCGTCGTATGGCGTCTTTCCTCAGCAGCCAGCTGAGGTGATCAGCATGGCAGACGTGTTGGAGGGATGGCAAGAACATAACCAGCACATCTTGAAACGCCTTCTTGCTGCAGCAGTCTATGGAGGACTCCAAGAACGGCTTCTGCACCCCTCCTCTGCGGCGAGCAGAAATTCTCAAGCTCATTGGCAACAAGGCACATCGTTTGATCCCCCGGTCTGTCATCACTCAGAGCTCAGGGAAACAGAGAGTCATCGACAAGGGCGACACAGGTGGGTAGTCTGCCCTCTCATCTGATGCCAACAGGCTCACCTTGTGCAGCCCGGTGCGGCCGGCACAACATATCAGTTTGGTGATGCATCGCTGGTCTGAGGAAGACGTCGCCGAGTTTCGTTTGAATGACGCCTGGGAGACAGGCCAAGAAGACCTACCTTCAGCCTAAAGGTACTGCCCTATGTCACAGCAGGAGAGTTTAGGCTGTGTCGTTGTATGGTTTCATCTTGAATGGCAGACCCCTGCATATCAAGTTTATGCAGGCCTCCTATTTGGGCTTCCGCTGGCCGTCACTTCCTTCAACAGATTTTCCCGATTGTTGGAAGCATTGACCCGGCGCTTTTGCCAAGTTTTGACATCCCTGTATTTTGATGATGCCACCGTCACAGATGTACGTTCAGCCAAAGGTTCAGGCCAATGGGCGATGAGCCAACTCTGTTTGATGATTGGATCCCCCTTTGCCGAAGACAAGAAGCAGACCATGCAGAGCACAGGCACTTTCTTGGGATTGACCCATGATCTCAGCTGTACAAACAAGACAGGACATGTTCGTTTTTGGGCACGCGACAGACTCCATGACAAAGTTCGTGACATCTTGACCACAGCACGGCAAACTGGCCACTTCAGTCGAGGCACAGCCTCCAAGCTCTATGGTCTGGCCAATTTCTTGGAACAAGGCATTTATGGCCGCGTGGGGTATGGCGGCCTCATGGCAATCAAGGCCCGTCAAGATGAAAACACAGCGGCCATGACCCCGGAGATTGAATCTTGCTTCGAGGTGATCGAAGCTGTGATGCGCTTTCAGCCAAAACGTGAATTTCCCGTTTTTCCTATGGAGCACCTTCGATTTTGGGCGGCATCAGATGCGGCAGTCGAAGCAGACAATCCAGGATCAGGTGGCTTCCACCTCATCTTTTTCCAACCTGACGGGTCACAAATCCGTCTCAGTTTTGTAGCAACCATTGCGCAGAGCTCCAAAGCTTATGGCAGCCTGCAGAGACTCATATTGCCCAGCTGGAACTTTCTATGGTGCTCTACGCCCTGGTCGAGCGCCCTGACCTCTTTCGACATCGACATGGTCTTTGGTTCCTTGACAATGTCGCGGCACTTATGACCTTAGTGAGAGGGCGCTCTAGCAATGCCGACTTAGCAAAGCTAGGTCATTTGATCCACTTAGCCCTGTTTGCACTGCGGGCCCAGGGTTACTGGGAGTACGTCCAGAGCAAAAGCAACTGGGCCGATCACATCAGTCGATTGGGTGTCAATGATCCTTGGTGGCGCTGCCATGGATTCGATTTTTATTCGTCGTACCTCCCTACCATCTTTTTCCAACTGCCCTTCGTTGCAGTCATCCTCACCTTTGAATTCCTTTAGTGCTTTGGGAGTTTAGTGCATTGGGTGATACCTGCAAGAGCAGGTTCCGACCTGGTTCCTCTGACCAGTGGCGAAACTGGTCTGAGGCTATGTACGTGTCACATAGTGACTACCCAAAGCAAACATGAGGATTGCAGGTGAAACAGACTTAACGTTGGCAGAGTTGTGAAAAAGAGAGACGCGAGTGTGCGAGTAGTACGAGGTTCATATGGCACTTTGAGATGTACCCATGCATTGAGTTTGGCAGGCTTGGGTGTGCATGTATCATCTTTCAGTGATTCAATGAATGCTACCATTTTGGCTCAAGTGGGGTTAAACCAAAATAGCATTCATTGCTTTTTCTTTCCCCACCCACCCAACTCCAAGAGCCGACCTC